TCCTATTTGATTCGTGCGTGTGAACGCTTTTCGATTGACTGACGTACAACGAAAATTAAATTAACCACAACGGCAAATCAGAAGAAAGGAAAATACCTTCAAGAGCCAATTAGAACTTGAAGGAAAACAACCGAAATGTCCAAAGCGCGGGAAAACGCGGGTGACTAAGTCGTGATCGGTTTTTTAGTTTTGCATCTGATTGGTTTAAAGAGAGGTGTGAGTTTTCTAGACCAATCACAGAGCGACGTAAACCAAACTCCAAGTAATTCCCGAGTGTTTTCGACATTCATTGAAAATTGTTGTAATTATTTTGCCTTGCAGTCACTCAGGGGGAGGGGGAAATTCATGGAGCTCGTCTGATGACGATGATGACATGCTTCAATCAACGGCAAAGGTAAACAGTGATTTTTTTTCCTCTTCGTCCTGTTTAGCCAATCTTGTTCTCGATGGAGCCTGATGAATTTTACCACCAGGTGGGAAGTCCTGAGAAGGACTTTGTTGGTAGATGACGTTTTTTTTCGGGTGAAGAGTTGTTGTCAGTCGAGAGTTTTAAGTCGGTTCGTTGATTCGTCGGTTTAGTGTTTTTCGTTCTGTTTGGTTTCGTGATTGTTTCGATAAATTAGGTCGTTCTGTATAATATGATTGAGGTGTAAATTACTGACCAAGTCGCGTTTGGTTCTAGTCTTGCATCAGATTGGTCGAGAAGGTAGCGCGAGTTTTCCAGACCAAATCACAGAGCGACGTAATTAAATCAATGCATTTCCAGATTACTTTCGACACTCAATTGAAAATTGATCACAGAGGTGATTTTACCATTGATGTATGTTTTATGTTGTTAGTCGAGATCAGGCAAGCCAAGTTTGTTGGCAGCACTGAGCAAGTCATCCAAACCAGTCACCAGGACGGCGTCAGATGTTTCCACTCAGAGCGCTAAATGTGAGTATTGTTAGTAGGCAAATTCTCCCAAAAGATATCCGAAAATTTCTGCCATTTCGGTTTTGTAGAAATCAATTTTTATCTGCGAGAAGGGAAGATTTGTGTGATTCACGGAAATCATGGAATTTAAATAGCATTTTACAGGCCATGGAAGTCGCAGATTTCTAGTATTGTGTATGGAAAAGTCCTTGAAAATAACTGATATTTTTTCATTAATTTTTATCGTACATTCGGTTGAAAGTTTCGGTATTGTTAAGTATCCAACCTTTTTTGCAATTTCTTTCTTTAGCAAATAGCCGAATTCCTGTGCGAACAAATGTTGTGAAAACAGAGCCTATTCAAGGTGAGTTAAGCTCAAGTTAAAATTTTTACGTAGTTAATGTTATTGTTCTATTTTTAATGTGTAAAACCACTTTGACACTCAAGATGCTTTTGGTGTATGTCTAATTATGGCAAATCACAGCAGAAGCTACTACATTTATTTATCTTCTAATATCATTCGCTGTGTGTTTTTTAATGTATGAACAAGTAAGTCACAGCATAAATGAATGTTGTTGTTCTTTTTGATCAACTAATTGCTATTTTAGAATAAAGGTTGTTTGGTTTTACGCTAGAATCAAAGCCTGCAGCACGTGATAACGATGTACCGTCACGCATTCCTGTCAAGACGGACGAGAACCAGTCTCCATCTCCAGCCAAGAAACCGCTGATGACTGAAGCGAGTCAAAAAAGCAGCCCCACCAACTCCCAACAGAGTACACCCACCAGGAGGAAATTGCCAACACCAGGGGGAGTAGGTCAAGTAGTGAAGGAATCGCCTCAATTGTCCCGAGCCACGCCGCAGAGAGTGACGGAGGATCAAGACTCGGAGGTAATTACGCATGATTCTGTAAAACGGCACATTTTGATTTAGTTTCGTAAAACCAAAACCAAAGTTATTGCTACGGCCAATAAAAGCGAAGGAAAATACCACAAGAACGAATGAGAACTCGAAGTGAAAAAGGCGGGAATACGCAGGTGATCATGTCGCGATTGGACATCAACGGGAAAAGCTCAAGTCTTGCAGACCAATCATTCTAAACCCAAATGGTGTCGGATGACATCAACTTTCTTGGTTTTGATGCAAATTTCAGATTGGGTTTTACTGTGCTTGACTTCGGTGATCAATTTCAAGCTTTTTCTATTGCTTGTTTTGTGGGTGCCAAGCTTCGAATGTACACGTTTTCCCGCGCCGTTCCCTCCCGCGTTAGACCCTTGCTTTGAGCTTTCCCACCCTTGAAATCCTCAAGCTTCAGTTAAACGTTTTCCCGCGATGAGCCAAATCTTTTAACTCTTTGGTGAAAAAGCAAGAGTTTAACTATCTTTCTCGTTGTGTTTTAGGGTGCGATCTCTGACACAGATGTTCTTGCTGCGCTGAGTGGTGGAAATACAAAGGTTGGAGGGTTTTTCAGAGTCAAAAGACAAACGATTCGAAAAAAAATATTCAGCAATACTACAAACCCAAACGTCCAATAAAATATATACATATATATGTGGCAAAGGGTCTTAGATCGAAAGGATTAACACAGTAACAGCTGTCGCCTAAATTGTGAGCTTCTTCATCATACAATCTGCCTGTCAAAGCTACAAGTATTTAAGTTTATTGCTCAGCGCCTTCTTGTCGTCTCTAAAACTTAAGATGGTTATTAACATTAACATTTGGTTGTTTTTCAGCTGTCAAAACCAGATACATCTGCGAAGCCACCAGAGAAAGCAAATGGTAAACACACTTTGTTTGAACGACTAACTGGCTTACTAACTTACTGACTGACTGACTGACTGACTGACTGACTGACTGACTGACTGACTAGATAATTTGGCTTTAACAGACTGAGTTGATAATGTTAATTAGCCACCGTTAAGAGTTTTTAAAGCTGACGTTACGAGCGTTAGCCCTTCTTCAGAGCGATTGATGAAGGGCTAACGCTCGAAACGTCGGCTTAGAAACTCTTTACGGTAGTCAATTTATGTTATCAACTCAGTCGATAAAAACAAATTGTCTTGATATGCTCTCACACCGACGCAGCACTACAGTTTCCTTAGAAACTCACCCCTTCATTCATTTGACTGACTGATTGATCGGCAGGTTGGATAGCTAACTGACTGACCGTTTGACTGACTTATGTAAAGAATGCCACACCAATTGGTTGATTGATTGACTAATTGATGTTACCTTTTGAAGGCGATCTCGACTTCAGCTTGTCATCGAGTGATGGCGAGGAGAATGATGGTGAAGATGTGTCCTTCAGCGAGCCTCCACTTGATGACGAGGACGATGAACTGCTGACCAGGCCAAGCTCTGGGTTTACACCCTCACCTCAACCGTTGACATCGACGCGGAAACCAGAGGAAGAGAGTGTGGGAATAGATAAGAAAGAAAATGGTGAGAAACAAGCAGCTAAATAAACTGTAAACAGTACCATAATCCTTTTCTTCGCACCTCTACTTCTTGGGATGTATTTTATCCGTAACAGTGCCTCTAATTATTGAAACCCGAATTTACCACCTCTTCTCGTCTATGTTTTTTCTCAGCCACACCCAAATTGAATTTCGAGCTTGGCAGCCCGGTAAGCTCCGTATCTGACCCCGACCTCAGTGGCATTTCAGACAACGAGCCTGCAAAGAAAGGCAGCGGCAAAAAGAGTGACAAACCGGAAGAACCAGTCAAACCTGGTGGCGGAAGTCAAAGTGAAGGTAAAGTGAACCGATACATTTCTACTTTATGTAGCTGATGTAAAAAAGGCGGGAAAAGTCTCGTAATACAAGTAGCTATTGCGGGCGAATCTGGCGCAGAATCTGAGCACTGAACCCTGTACACCCCAACATCACGATGCATATTCTCCATACTGTTCTCTATACATTTTCTAAGTTGCTGACAAGGAGAATTTGTGTAACAATCAAGAGCTTCTTTAGTTGAGGATCATTTCCTTTATTCTCATGACCTTAACGTGTGATGCAGGGATGATACTGTGCGGAGAAGTTGTATTTTAGTCAGTCTTAGGCGTCAGAAGGTTAACTATTGATCTTTTCTCTCTCTGTACAGAAGAGTCCGCTTGGGACAGCTCGGATGTAAGTGGATATTTATTCATTGTTAAATTGCTTATTCCAATCGGCGATAGCTGTTGATTCTGTGCTTGAAACACTAATGTGTGATATTCAAATGAAAGCTACTGATCAGTACTTTCATATATAACTGGAGGTTTCGCCCCATTCGCCTCGACCACCTGTGCAAGTTCGCCCCCAAACTTGGTTCTTGTTACATTGTAAGTGAATTTGTCCTGAGCGGTAGACTTGTAACTTGATTTATTTTCTTCGTTTTCCGAAGGATCTTCTTCCGTCCGATGGTCCTGATACCACCAGAGGCAGCAGCTTGTTTGGTACGAGAAGCCCTCCGCCTGCAAAGACTGTAGGTGAGACCAAACCTCAGCTAAAGGTTGCTGCTTCCCCGCGTAAGACTGATGTAAACGACAGCGATTCCGAAGTCACGGAATCAGAGGGCGAGTGGGAGAAGGAGAGAGCTTTAGAAAAAGCGAAAGAAAAGGAAAAACAGGAACAGGAAGATTTTGAAAGAGAGAAAGAAAAGCAGAGAATGTTGCAATGGGAGAAGGAACGAAAAGAGAAAGAAGATGCTCTCGCCAGAGAACTACAAGCAGAGTTAGAAATGGAAATGGAGATGGAAAGGAAGGAAAGGGAGGAGGAGGAGAGGCGAAGAAGAGAAGAAGAGGAAGAAGAGAATGAAAGGAGGAGGAAAGAGGAAGAAGAAAATGAGAGGAGGCGAAGACATGAAGAGGAACGCCGGAGGGAAAGGGAAGAAGAGGAAGGAAGATTAAAAAGAGAGGAGGAGGAGGAGGAGGAGGCGAGAAGACGCGAGAGGGAAAGAGAGGAGAGGGAGAAAAGAAGAGAAGCTAGAACGTGAGTTGCGGAGGAAGGAAGAAGAAAGACGGCAGCTGGAGCTGCAACAAGAAGAGGAACGTCGGAAGCGAGAGGAAGAAGTGCAAAGGATTAAAGAACAGAATGAGCGAGATATGCGTATGTTTGAATTACAAAAAGAACAGGAGCTTGAGAGGCAAATGCGGCTGAAAGAGGAAGAGATGGAACGGCAGAAGAGAGAGTACGAGGAGAGGTTGGAAAGGGAAAGGGTTGCGTTGGAGGAACAGCACGCGAAAGAAGCCGAAGACCTTCTTCACAAGCAAAGAACTGCAGACGAAGAAGCTGAAATTCTACTTCAAGCTTATCGACGAAAACAAGAAGAATTGTTGGAAAAAGAGAGATTGTTTGAGGAAGAAATGATTCGGCGTGAGAGGGAGCTGGAGGAGAAAAAGCGGAAGGATGAACTGGAAAGAATTGCTTCGCAGGATATGGTGACCGTCGTGCAGAAGGATTCAACGTATTCCGCTGCTCCTTTAGGTGGCAGTTTAGAGCAGTCCAAGGAGTTGGAAGAACTAGAGGAATGGAAGTGGATGTACGAGATGAATGTAGAACAGGAGAAAACGGCTCTGGAGGACGCTGTCCGCAAGAGGAGGGAAGAAGAGCAGAAGGCCGCGGAAGCTGCAGAGAAGTTGCGTCAGATACAACAGGAAGAGGATTTGAAGCGGATCGAGGGTGCCCTACGTCATAGGCGGCAGGGAGAGGAGGTGAAGGAAGCGGAGAGTAAACTGAAGAGGCTGGAAGTAGAAGAACAGGCTGTCCAGGCTAAGAAAGGTGAGTCTAGAGAGTAAGTTTCTAAAGAAACTGTGTTGCAGCGTCGGTAGGGGTATAACAAGATAATGTAACTTGGCCACGGTAAAAATTTTTCTGAAGCCGACGTCTCGAGTGTTAAGCCTTCGTCGGAGCAAATCAACGAATTTCGCTCTGACAAAGGGCTATCACTCGAAACGTCAGCTTTAGAAACTCTTTACGATGGCCAATTTACCTTGTAACTCAGATAATTTGTTAAAACCAAATTATCCAAGAAAGGCGAGCTTTAGTTTTAAAAGCTGTTGCTTGGAACAAGAAGGTGTAAAGATTCAAAATGAAAGTTACCGAGCTGCACATTCATGTGGTATTGTCTATTATGCTGATGGTTGTAATGGTGGTTCGAGATTTTCAGACTGTTATTAAAACCCGAGTGTGTGATTTATGCCATGAAAAGGTTACTAAGCAACTAATAACTACCACATGAATGAACTTTGCTGTACAAGGTGGTTTTAACCATGAAGTCTGAATGAAGCGTTAGCTTAAGACAGTTCAAATGGAAGCAACTGAAAATTAATTTTTTTGTGATGCCTTTTAGTTTTCGACGAGAGTTTTCTTCACTTTTACTCAGTATATTTGTGTAAGGTTATTACCTTCCACGAGTTTTTATAACTTTTTCCACGGGCAGCTGTCGATGTTTTAATAGGCGGCTGTGTCGTGAGCCGAAAGTCAAACATGAAAGCCTGCGTGCAGGCTTAACAGACGTCGGTGAGATGTCATTAAGCCGTAGACCACCGGTAAACGAAACCCCTGATTTCCCCTTCTAATTTAGAGAAAAAAGTTCACCGAACGTATGCCTCGTCAAATTATGAGAAAACCCGCCAATTACTTCAGACATTTCATGATCGAATGTTCCTTTTTTTACACCATTATTTCCAGATTCTAAAATTACACCAAATTCAAACAACTTTGTTTTGTTTGCTTAAGACGGAACGCTTGGCTGGCACGCCGATTTATTGAAATAAATTTACATCTCCATAGTGGTCTGTTTACAAATTTCACGGATGAGCGAATTTTGCGTTTTTTCGTGTAAGCGACCGAATACAGCACATCAAAGCAAAAGATTACCTAGAGACAACAGTTTTTCAGGATTTGAGGAGCTAATAGTTTATGAAATTCAAACGACGAGTGTTTAGAGGGGAAAGAGAACTTTTCTGTGGAATTACACGGGAATGGATTGCAACGTTCGTAAATCGATTTAACGCTGTCAAGAACATTTTGTGTTCAGACCGTCTTCGTTAATTGTGGCGAAAACTTTCTTATAAAAAGCGGAGTTTCGTTTTGACTGTCGGCAATCGTCAAAAATTGAGGTAAGAGTGAGGCTAAATATCCAACAACCCTTTTGGACTTCTTGAAATTATAGCGTCTGTCGTTGACAAATTGATTCGGGTTTTAGTCTTTCAGAGTTAATTTGTGGATTAAAGTTCTTAATCATCATCGACCACTGTCTCTCGGTGTAAATCACTGAAATTTTCAACACTGATCGTTCCTAAGCTTACAATTTTGCCTTAACTCATGATTGACAGATTTTACCAATTTAGATTGAAGTGGCTTTTTCTCGCACATATTCTGAAAGGTGTGAAGTATTGTAATAATCCTTTGGAAAACAAGAAAGGAAATTGTGCATTTTAATCGCTTTCACGTTTTTTGTTATTCTAACGTTGTCATAGCTTCAATAAGGAGCGAAAGAGATATATCATAAAATTTTGTTATCACATAACTTTGCTTGACTACAGTTTCTCTGTAAAATGAAATTCTTTTTCGTAAATTATATTTGAAGGTTTTACAAGGCGCTTACTTCAAGTTTGTTTCATTCAGTAACTCACAACTTTGAAATTCTCTCCTTGTCTCATCCCATTTAGCCCTAAGAATGATTAACATCTAATTTCTCCTTAGAATATCAACTTGAATGAAAAATAAGGCCGCAAGTATAAAGGAAATTGATCACTAACCAAACAAGCTCTTGATTGTCAAAGAAATTCTCCTTGTCATCACTCTAAAAACGTCTAGAGAAAAGTATGAAGAATATTCATACTGAAATGAGGATGCAGAGGGTTGTTGCACACAGCCGTCGACTCGTAAAGCGACTATTGCCTTTCTACAAGTATTGTAATGAATCGATTTGATTTTAAATTGGTAACTGAGCTTGATTTGACTTTTGTAAAGTTTCCGAAAAAAGTTAAAACATAGTAAAGTTTGCCATTTGTTAGATCATGACGAAAGTTGGTAGAAACTTTTACCATGATCCTTTTTGGGTTGCGCGTTCCCGCTAAAAGCACTTCGCTCGCTTTCTTGTCTGTATAAGATGTAAAAATGTGTATTGTATTTTAGAGTTTTTTGTTGTTCCTACCTTGTTTATTGAACTAGTAATAATTTCAGAAATACCACAGCTTTACACTTTTGAAAAATCTATTAGATTTTTATTTATTCTATATTCTTCTAAGATGTCTTGCTAATGAAAGTGAAACGATTCTCTCTGTGGAGGATGAGAAAATACTGATATGGTAAAAGGTTTTTGTCAGCTATCAAAAGACAGTTGCTAAGAAATTATTAAACTTTGCTGACACAACTCGAGAGGGGATGCTTGTTAGAGAGAAGGATAATTAGTGAGGGGTACTCATAACAAAGGGGGTTATAAGAGAGGGGGAATTATTAATGAGGGCGCTTTATAGAGAGGGGGGCTTATTGTACCGTAGGGGAAAAGTGGTGAAAGCGAACGTAATGGAAGAATTTCTTGCAATCGCGAACACAATTCTTTTAGGTTCTCACACAAGGCATTTAAAACAAAACAAAACTTGCAATAGGCCATTTTACAGTTGTGTACCTAGTTGCTAAGCCTTTGATTTGGAGTGAGGCTGAAGGTGACCCTGTCGTGATAGAGACCAGTAACTAGTTAGCATGATAACAGAGTAATTTGCATTTGAAAAACAGCAAGGTTTGTATCATAACAAGGTCACCCTTAGCCTCATTCCCGTTCAAAGGCTTGGCAACCAAGCACACAACTGTAAATTGGACTATTAGACTTAGTTACAAAAACCATATTCTTAAAGATAAATTTGGAAATTTATGTAAAGTGATAAGGAGAACTTTGTTTCTGATCTTCACAGAAATCGAGCAGCAGCGCTTAATGGATCTGGAGGCCCAGAAAAATCGCTTGGACCAGGAAACCAGCACTAAACTGGCTGAGTTCAATAACAGGTAAGGAAACCTCTTTCAGCAATATGCAATTGAACTTCGTAGATAATGAGCGATAACATTTGTTTTCATCGACTCCGCTCTAAGTTTACTCTTAGAAACTCTTGACTGTATCTCGACCAATCAAATGCTAAGGCAAAACGAATTGCGACTTGGTCACGTGAGTTTTCCCGCGCTTTATGCCGTTAACGAGTATTTACTAGATTTCTCATTGGCTCCTTGTGATTTTTTGCCCTTTTCTGATTGGCTGTTGTGATTGCTCTCGTTTGGATTACGACTCATCGATTAAGCCTTATACATGGAGTATGTTCTCTCTCTTCAAGGAACTACTTTTTTTGGGCTATTTACGAAAGTGAAAACTTACGATAGGGTCTAGCCTATCATGACAGGTTTGAAAAACTACAGCAGTTGCGCTTTTTTTTCTCGTTTCTTGGACCAGTTTCGCTGAATAGCGCAGTTCTTTACTTTCAGAGTCAATATTTCCGGTGCCCTTGGCAATAAGTTAGTCTTCTTTAGCTCAGCTGAAAATTTCTCTAAGCCCACAGGAATTCAGAGGTCAGAGATGTTGCTAGGCAAAATGACGTATTAATGACGTCTGACGTTCATTGTGAAGAAAAATGCGTACTTTTGAGATTAAACCCGGGAATAAAATACGAGGAAATGAAATATGATTGAGTTAAGTAGTTAGTTCTTCGCTTGAAACCCAAAACACTTCAAACCTCGTTCACCAAGAAAAATCCTCCCGCTTGCTGTATAGGCATCGTCGAGCGGAGCTTGAGAAAAAATCGCGGCAGATCCTCGAGGAACGAGACCACCTTAGCACCACGTTTGAGGCAACGCGGCAGAGGACCACAGAACTGAACCAACCCCCTTCGGTGTCGCTTCTTTCCCCGGACAAACGGCTCAGCGTTGTAAGCTTAGGGAGTGAAGGTGACCGCGATAAGAACACCAGGTAGGACTACTGATGGCGTCATTTTTGTTTGTCACGCAACGATCCTGTGTGTCACAAAAATTGTTCTTGTTTCGCGCAGAACTATCGGACGTCGCATAGCCTCGTGTATACTGCACGAATTCTCCACCTCTCAGCGTTGGAGTGAAAATAGCTAGCACTTGAACACGGAAATGATTGAGATGATTGTTTTTCTTCTTCCTGAAAAAAAAAGACCAAAAAAAATTTTTTTCCAAAGTAGTGCACCTCTTCTCTCAAAAGAGGTACTCAATGCGAAGGACAAATGTCTTATTTTTTTCAACCTTCTTCAAGGATTCGGATAATCAACACGTAGTATTTTTTGATAAAGATTTATTTTTTGCGTGGCGACATCTCTGGCTTACGTTAAATTTGAATAGTGATTAGTTCCTTAACTAAAAATAGTCCCCGCTTTTTGGCGAAGTTTGTAGCGCGAGTAAGAACGAAATTGAAGTTAGTGTGGGACTCTGGGAGTGAGCGCGCAAAAAGCAGGGAAGGTGAGAGAGAGAGAGGAATCTATTCCAGACCTACCTCACAATTCTCTTCGCCGTAGGTAATTATTCACTTCAAGCGTAGCTTTAGTAACTACAGGAAGACAATCCAGTTCTAGACCCTTAGTTGGTGAAAATGGGTGGTCTAGTCGCTCATCCAGTTGGAACTTATCTCGGTTTCTTTGGCTGGAAGCGACTGAGAGTATACCAACTCCCCCCTGGATGGGTAGCAGGTCGTTAGCTTTCCCTGTCAGTTCGCTGGCCTGGTATTTTTTTATACTTCTGGATGGAGGCACTGTGAGGCACAGAGGCACTGTGAGGTTCAAGTGTGCTGTTGAAGAACACAATAGACTGACCTGGTTACGTTTCGAACCCAGACCTCTCGACCCGCTCACCCCCTTCTCGACAGAGGGGGGTGAGCGAAAATCGGTGACTGTCAGGAAAACGGCTCACTGATCCCCACTAATTTTCGCTCGCACGTGTTTTTTCACTCGTTTTTTATTGACCACGAGCCTTGAACTGATTACAAAAAGCCTGGGGAAAGCGGGAAAATTCTCATTCTTTCTGCTCTTTTTCTCTCTTTTTTTGTCCTTTTTGTAGCAATTCTGCTGGCGGTTACAGGACGAAAGACAAAGATAAACCAGATGGAGAACAGATGAACTCGCAGAAGGTATGTAGGAGTCTACTTCCAAAGTAACCTTTACCGTTTGTAAAAGAAAAAATCTTGTTTTGTTTTTCTGTTTCGTCTTGCTTATTATTTCTTTTTGTCTTCTAGCCACTCACAAATGGTTTTGCGGATGATGGAGACTGGTCCGAATCATCCGAGGAGGATCACCATGGCCGCTACTCTCCTTTAGTTGCCATGACAATGAACGGCACCAATGCCAAGCCTCCCACGGGAATCTCGCCACCTCGGGCTCAGTCTCCCTTGTACAAAGCGTCTACTCCGCTGAATACAACAGGTGGTGGACTGGGCACGTCACCCCTCAGCAGTTCCTTTGCGCTCCAAGGTAAAATAATTTCATATTTGTAGGAATCGTTCTATGAATGGGCCGTGGAGGAAAAGTTCTTTCGAGAAACTATGAGGGATTAATGGTTCGAGGGAACTCCACATATCTTTTAGCAGTTCCCTAGAATTAAGCCGTTGAGAAATGCGTTGCCAACCAAAACAAAAACTCTTCGAGTTTTTCGTAAAAAAAATAGGTTTTTATCTACCTCAAGTGGAATTTTGTTAATTCTTCGGAGGCGATCCGTAATCGTAACAGCCCGGAAACTTGTCGGGATAATGCTGCGGCCGTATTTTTTGACGCGAAAATCTGAGGTATTAGTTTGATTAGATAAACAGCTCTTTTTAGACTAATCACTGGCAAATTTCTTCGACACTATTGCCATGATGATTTAACACCCAGAGATTGCTGCGTCAGAAGGCGAAATCAAGTCATTTTCGATGGCGCACTTATTCCGCGCGCGCATTTCGTTTACACGCCACAGCAAAAATCGGATACGTCATAATGCACGAAAAAATTCTTTGTTTACCGTTTGTGTTTTTTTCTGTTGTGGTAAGCACGCTCGTAAATCTGATCGACCAAGTCATATTTACAGTTTACAGCTTATGAAGTGCTGATCTCCGCTATCTTTTGCCGTTCTTTCCAAGTGTTACGTGGTTATCGCAGCTCTAGATTTACCGGCGTCTTTCCAGCCTTCTCATCGTATGCGCTATGCGTGTTGTTTGTGTTTTCCACCTTTGACGCCCGTGGCATCCTTTCTCGTGGTTGTTCGCTTCTGATTAGTGAATTGCAGATTATAGAACATTTAGGGTAGCTAAGCTAAACATTCCCTTTGACATTTCAGACAGTACAAGCTTCGCGCGTCTTCAAGAAGCCCTTCGTGATTCAAAACGACAAGTTGACAAGCAGAAAGAGAGAATTGTAGCACTGGAGACAAGCAGGAAGCAAATGGAGATCGATTTAGCTGAACTTCAATTGTAAGAAAGATTTCTTGTTGGTGTATGTCAAGTATCATCCAATACAGTGAACTCTTAAGAAAAACGTATTTCACATTTCTTTTTCAGAAGGAGGGGAGACTGAGAAGGGTAGCTTTGAATAAATGTTAGAGCAGTTTTCAGTTGAATGACGAAGTGCCAAAACAAAAGTAGTAACAACGGCCAATAACCGCAGGGATAAACATCATCATTAGCCAATGAAAACTCCGAATAAATACAAACGAACTGCTTAAAGCGCGGGAAAACGCGGGCAACCAAGTCGCATCTGATCGGTTGAGGAGATGGTGCGAGTTTTCCGAACCAATTACACAACGAAGCAAAGCAAAACCAAAACAATCCTGGCTTATAATCAAAGCTCAATTGAAAATTGCTCCAATGTAAATAAAATTCGCAAGGTAATAAGCTGGATATAGGTTGGGAATGCATCCAACTGCGAAATCGCACCTACAAGCCTGTCTCCGGTTATTCGAAGGGTGAATAACGCTATTCATTGGATAGATCTTTATTCGGTGGATGGCGCAGTAGGTGTTGTTAACTTTAGAACAGTTTTCAGTTGAGTATCGAAGAGTGGCCCAGAAAACATCGCGCCACAATCGCAACCAATCAAATGCTAAACTAACTCCAATTACGACTTGGTCACCCGCGTTTTCCCGCACTTTGTGTAATTTGCTTGGTTTTAGTTCGAGCTCTTATTGGTTCTTAAAGTTGTTTTCCTCTCCTCTGATTGGCCGTTGTGATAATTTTAGTCATGGTTTTATCCGCTGCACAGCGTTCTCCATATTTGAAGGCGTTATCCTTATGAGGTATATAGCTTTTTGTGTGTCTTACCTTTATGAAGAATGTTTCTCAAAAATTTATATTTTTTTCCCTTACCAGGAAGGTGGAGACTCTAACCAAAGAGAGATCTGAATCTGAGCGGCTGAAAATGGAGGTGGAGTCAGCCTATAGAACACTGCAGTATAAACATGAACAAGAGAGCGAAGCTTTGCGCGTGTCTGAAGCTCTTCAGAGTCAACTGAAGGAGCAGATTTCAAGATCAGAAGAAAAACTTGCTAAGTAGGTTGAAGTGAACAATTGTTTTTCGTCAGCGCTGTTTTGATCGGAGAAAGAGTTTAGGCCGAGAGTTTTTTCTTGTTGTTTTTCAATGTTTCCTTTTCCTCTGTGACTCTTAATGATCCGCTTAAATTCTAGTTCGAAAGCAAACGTAATATTTAAGTACAACGTGAAGAGCATCCTTTTTTGTGTTTTTTTATGGGGTCAAGCTTGTTATTGAGTTTTTTGTAGCTTAAATGTTGGACATCGTTCTTTGTATACTTAAAAACGCTTTGTTTTTCAACAGGGAACTGGAGAAACGACAAAACTTGGAGGTCGAGAAGCGCCAGCAACAAACTGAAATCAAATCCTTGCGCAACACCGTTCAACAACTTGAGTCCGATGTTCGAGACCTTAAGAGGGCGCTGGCAGAAGAACAAGACACCCGCGCCGCGCATAACGAATTACTTGATGAAGAAAGGCGTAAAAACGACGCCTTAATGGAAGAAACGCGACATCATTCCCAGCAGAAAACTGAAGCTCTTTATCAGCTTGAAGCGGTGGACAAAACTCGAAAGAGCTACGAAGAAAGTAGTGGCTCATTGAGAGAGGAACTCAAAGCAGCACTGGTAAAAATTAATGAATTAATAACTTATCTCTGGAGCAGTTTGCTTCATTCCGCTTCGTGATTGGCCCATAACCAACCAATAAGAGGCAAAACTAAAAATCAATAGCGACTTGTTCACTGGCGTTTTCCCGCGCTCGAGAACGTTTGCACGCGTTCACTTTGAATGTATTTTGTAAAAAGCGCGCTAGGGTTGTAAGAGTTGAGTGAAATCACTCATTATTTGTTTTGTAGGTTGAGTTGGCTGAAACGAAGGCTCGTCTAGAAGCAACCAAAGCATCTATGGGAAAGGAAATATCCATTTTGAAGGAAAAGTTAGAGAAAAAAGCGGTCAAAGTGGTAAGTTACCACAAACCAAAAGTAGAGAACACTCTAACACTCGGAAAAAGAACTTCTTGATCAAAGATTGTTAAAGTTTTGAAGAACACTCGCCACTCGGTTATTATCTCTAACCCATAACCTTTCACCCTTAACCCTTAGCCTTTCACCCTTGACCCTTAACCTTTTTAACCTTTCACCCTTAACCCTTAGCTTTTCACCCTTGACCCTTAACCTTTTTAACCTTTCACCCTTGAGCTCCCACGGTCTGATTTCTAACTCTTCCCTTTGACTGATACACATGTCCATGTAATTGGAGTTGGATCAAGGTAACAACTTCTACCTGATAAGTTTTAGTATTCTTAATACCTGTTTGTCCCATAATGTATGTATATTATAGGGAGAAGTTACAGGCTCGTCACTTGCAGGAGTTAAAAGGTTAAAATATTCCTGTTTTGTCCCAGGCCAAGCATGAAGAAGCGCTTCTTCAAACTCGCGCCGAATTCGATTCACATGTGGCTAGCGGTAGAAACGAACATGCGCAGATAAGCAGCAAGTTGGAAAGTGAAACGCAGACGAGAACTCGCCTGGAGTCTGAGGTACTTCATGTAACTATTGCAATGTGTGACATTACTGACAGGAAGGGGAGATCAATAGTGGGCTAAATCCATGAGTAATGATTCCGGTTTTGACCGCTGACCTAGGTGTACCGTGGTGTGTTTTGCCAGACAGTCAATTTTCACTATATGCCTCTCTCCACCCACCCAGGAAAATAAATGGTACAGGGAAATTTGAAAAAAAAATCCGAGGGGAGGGGTGGTTAGAAATTGTAATAAGGGAGGGGGGAAGTGCATCGGTAACCTAGGCAGGGAAGGGAAGGGAAGTAGCTCTAAGGAGCTTCATTTTATGTACAGAGGGTAGTAGTAATTGTGATTCCCATCAGCTGTATATGAGGGTTGGGGATAGACTTAACTTTATCATGTATTCGTCTGCATTGATGTTTATGTAACAAGAAAGTACTGGGAAAAACGTTTTTCTTTGTTTCTTTTGCTTTGTTTCGTTGTTTTTTGTAGGTTTCGTCACTGAGATCACGCCTGGAGAAATCGGACAAGGAATTAGAAAGAGCAAGTGTCGGAAGAGTGGAGGCAGAGAGGTGAAAAGTCTTTAAATTATTTTCTCTTCGCTAAGTATTTCATTGTTCATACCATACGGCAACGTTATTTAGGCCGCAGTTAATGAAGAATTGTTTCACCTGATAAACTGTTGTGTGACATACAAAGGGACGATGAACTTGTTGCGTGACCGTGACATCGCAAGACCACTATCGGCTTCACTTTTTGGCTTTCAACGGAGAAAGCTTTGTCTCTGGGCTATCTCTTGAATGATGTCCAAGTCGCAAGTGAATCGTAGAAATATAAGACTGATTTAGTTGTTTGTTGTTTTCAGACAAGTACAAAACCTTCGTGATGAACTTTATCAGGCGAAGCTTCGACTAGAAAAAGAGACTTTTTCGCTAAAAGACACAAACAAGGTAACTTTTTTAGAGCAGTTTTCACGATGGTCGAAAGAACCCCGAATGATATTTATTTTGCTGCACTTCGCTCTCTGATTGGTCAAGAAAAACGCACCACTCTCTCACTCTTAACCAATCAGATGCAAAATTAAAACAACCGCGACTTGGTCATTCGCGTTTTCCCGCGCTTCAGGCAGGTTGCTTGTTTTAGATCTGAATTCTTATTGGCTTGTTGTGATGATTTCCTTTGCTCTGATTGGTCATAGTGGTTTCTTTGGTTTGGGTTTTACACCACTCAATCGAAATGCCCATGACAGTAACTTTATTTCCAATTTGTTGGAAGGGTTAAGAGTTAATTCTTTTATGAAAATTTGTCCTAAAAGGTAACAATGATTCCTTTTTTCGTTCGTAATGTAAGGGTCTTGCAGTAAAGTTGGAGGCTATGGAAAGTAAAGCAAGCAACCTTGACATTGAGGTAATGATAATTCCTGTCGAATATATTTCTAAATTCTTGGGGAGTTGTTAGATTAACAGATCGCATCCTGGACTTCCCTTTTCGAGTCCTTACTGGGTCGTTGTGACCCAAGAGGGGGGAGGTGTACCCGGTTCTCGAAATCTGACTTATTTGAGGCCAAAACATCCCATTTTCCACACCCGGTTTCCGACTCGGCCTTCAAAGCCAAAAGCCTTTTACAGGTCAAGTATCACGGCCAAAATCAGAACTGTTAAAATTAACCCGAAAAGTTCGTTATCAGAACCCAGAACTTTAAGCGCTTTATCTGAACTAACCACTCTTAACAAGAACCCACTTTCGTATCGTCACGCAACGAGATGTCGAGAGCGAGAACCCCTTTCGTGACAAAACCGAGTATCGGTTGCTAAGGCGACATCTATTCCTCCTACTAAAACTTTTTAATCCTTCAGCTGCAAAATGCTAATCTTTTACTTACGGAGCGAGGAAGTCAACTGAACCTTGTACAGCGTGACACGGAATACCAGAAGTCACAATTTGATAGGCTGCAAGAAAAGATTCGACTAGAAAAGGTTTGTAGAAGTGTCACGTAGTATCACACATTGTGGTCACGCTGTTTCAGTAGTCAAGCTTATACTATCATCGCAGTTAGCTATCTTAGAGTTGTCACGCAGTAGAGAGTCACGCGCAAGTGGCGTTGCGTCACGTCTGCTATGTCACGATCTAATCGTTTTATCCTTAGGTCTAGAGAGAAATTTTCTTCGCTTCCTGCCATTTATTTCTGGTAATGTCATTTCTAAAAAACTTGGTGTTGAATAGAACAGTAACCCCTAGCATATGTTTTTCTTTTTCCTGATTACCAGCCAGCCAGGCAATGCATTGATATGTTGAAAAGACTACTTTGCAGTCTTTTGAAAAGATTATGTGTGCTGGAATTTATAAAGGTCAGCTGAGTGATTACATAAGAACGCTTTTCAGAGCTATCCTCATCTAAAAGATTGCACAACACGATTTATTTAGTCATAAACTCGGTTCTCAGTGGAATAAAAGGACCTAATACCCTTGTCATTAATCACATCAACTGTTTCTCCCTTTCAGGAACAAAATTCAAGACTTACTGGTAAACTAGAAAGCAGTGATCACAAGTAAGTAATATAAATTGATAATAAATGTGTTTTATGGACAATCTGAATTTTTGTGTCATGTAAAAAAGATGATTGCTTTACCCATAACATTTGAGAAGTGTTTTTCTTAACAATCTCCCTTGCCCAAGAACTCACGTGGGCGAATTGAACTACCAGTAAAGATTACTTGATAAGAATACCTGCTTAAATTACTGCGAATGGCTTAAGCTTAAATTCTACTTCCAAAAGAATTCCCTGGCAAGTACCATTCACAAGTGCTCTGTACTTAGAGCATTTTGAGAGTGGAAGGTTATCCGGGATGTCATTGGTTTGCTTCGGTTTCGCTTTACTTCGCTCTGTGATTGGTCCAAAAAACTCACACCACCTTCTCAACCAAAGTATAACTAATCGCGTCCCGGTCGGTGCGTTTTCCCGCGCTTTTAACAGTTTGTTTTTGTTTTGAGCTCTCATTGGCTAATGATGATGTGAATCTTTGTGCTTATTGGTTATTGTCATTACTTTGGTTTCGGTTTTTTGGCACTCATTTGAAAACTGCTCTGAAAGAAAAAAAAGAAAGAAATTTTCACTTGCTAAGGAAGAGTCGCCAGTATCCAAGTGGCCTTAAAAGTACTTATCGTAGGTAAATATGATAGATAGAATTACATTAATAAGAGAGATTACCAGACATGAGGTTCAAATTCACAGTACATTCTTCAAGAACTCATGTGGACAAATTGAATTCTTCAATACATACCTTCTTTATGTAAATCTCAAAGAAAAATTATGTGTTGTGTCTCAGAATTTCCAGTCTCCATGCTGAATGTGACACGTTACGCCGGAGATTGGAAGAAGCAACGGAGAAGTTGCGGAAACAGGAGGAAGTTGCCATGAGAACAGAGGTGGGTCTGCATTTTTATCAGTTAACTTCAACAGAGCTCGGTTATTCGAAGGGTGGATAACGCAGTCCGCTGGATAAATCTATATCCGGTGGAAAGGGCAGTATGTATTGTCAACACTTATCTACCGGATAGTGATCTGTCCGGTGGATATCGATATCCACTCTTTAAACAACTGACTCTGGTTCTAAATTTAATTCCTCTACTCTTAGATTGTCTGGAGGCGTTATGGCCGATTGGTTAGGGTGACAGACTTGAAACCCGGTGGTCCTGGGTTCAAGCCCTCCACCCTAACACTCATTGTATTTATTAATGTTTTTTCCCGAGTTCAACTCTTCAATTGCGCTGTGCAAAACCCAGCTGGTCTTAGTTCGGATATTTAAACACTATATTTGTCCATTCGTATTGGCTCCGAAAAGCCCCATTGGGGAAATGGTCAATGAAATATTCATGCATGTATACCTCCTTGAGACTTGTTCTTATCAGTTATAAGCTACCAGTATGGTTCAAGTTTTGCTCTCCTTTTGGTAGATAAAAGCATGCAACACTCGTGAGGTAAGGTTTCCCTAAGAAGCTGTCTGAAATATTTCAAAACTCTTGGTATATTTTGCAGGAAAAATTTAACGGCTTGCTTGCGTCATCGAGAGCAGATTTTGAAAAGGTAGGTCACATTCAAATCATACATGTTTAATTTTTTTCTGAACGAATAGGGTGATTTTGACAAGAATTGGGTGTACTAATGCCGAGACACAACCTCAAGGAAAAACAGCGAAAACAGTATGCTTTTGAACTAGAGCAGTAAAAGTTTCCGACAGAATTGAACAACAGAATGTATAGCATTCAAAAGTTGTGGTTTGGCCTCGGTGAATTTTCCGATGGAAAAAATATGTATTTATATTTATGCTTTTCATTGGGTCTTCGTATTTAAGAGTTGCCCTGAATCAGTTAAGTGAGTGAACCAGTGGTTACTTTTAAAAGTCATTTTTTTATTCAGGTCTGTGATGGGTTTGGTTATTTTTAAATAGTATGTGATGACGTTTCAAATTTGTGTTCCGTTAGAGTAAACAAGTTATGCAAGAGAAACATGAAAATCTCTTGGACATGATCAACAAACTCAAGTCAGACGTTGAGAAAGGAAAAGAAAAGAGTGCACAGCAGAAAGCTCACATCAGGGATCTACAACAGGTCTGGTTTTTCCCTTTTTCTTTTGTTGACTTTTTTTTTCTTCTCATACAAGCTGCCAGCAATTTTTTTTTTTTTTTGTTTATATTTTTGCTTTTTTGTAATTCGTCCGTTCTTTCTTCGTTCGGATGAGTTCGGTCGTCGTTCGTTCATGTGAGGGTGACATCGTTCGTTCTTGTGAGGGTGACATCGTTCGTTCGAATGAGTTCGTTCGTCGTTCGTTCATGCGAGGACGACATCGGTCGTTAGGATGAGTTCGTTCGTCGTTCTTTCTTGCAAGGTTGACATCACTCGTTCGGATGAGTCCGTTCGTCGTTCGTTCTTGCGAGGGTGACATCGTTCGTTCCGATGCGTTCGTTCGTCGTTCGTTCATGCGTTCGTTGTTTTTTTTGTTGTTGTTGTTTTTTTTTATTATTGTTGCTGTTACTGAGCCCTCTTACCTCGCCTGAACTTATTTTGTGTGGATGCTGTGGCTCAATGATATTTTTTTCATGTAGGAGTTAAACGAAACATCCAAGAAACTTGTTCAAACTGAAACAACGTTGGCAATGCAAACCAAGGTATTTATATTTTCTTCCTTATCTATCGCCTGAAAAAGGAAATCTAGGAAAATACTTGCAAGTGGAAAAGATTACTGTAATTCTCCAACGCGTATATCTCAGTACACAGCTTTTTGATAACCTCGTGCTGTTGTCAATGTCTTTCCGGTTTTTTCTTGTCTTAGCTTCGCGAAGAACTGGAAGATGAGCGTTCGCAGTTAAGAAACCAACTGAGCAATCTTGAAAATACGGTGAGTTAATCTTTCTACTACAAAAATCATTTTGTGAGAGTTCAGATTAAAAGACTACAACTCAATAAGATGGACTACCATTTCTTTCTTTCCCCCAGGGACAGATTTAGGAATGGGGACGGGGTTGGGTGGGGTGGGGTCCTCACTGTGACTCCGAAAACACAGCCCTTCTTTTTTTTAACACTACATCTAAGTTATTTAAGAAATATTTTAAGGCCAGTAAGTTTATGAGTTTTGCATAGAAGTCACTGTCCCCTAATGCGTAGTAATTGGAGTCGTGAGGTAAATTTGATTTAATATCTTTGTTCTTCCGTGATTTTATAGGTAGTGACGGTAGAAGCCACACGAGGCGAGGTTGCTGGGCACGCCATGAAACTCGAGGAGGAACTGGAACACACGAAACGTGTTCATGGAGAGACCACTGAACGGTTAGTCTCTAGGAGCGCGGACGTGGAATCCGTCACCAAATCTTTGGTAAGTTTTCACAATGATGAAGTTAAGGGCGTGGGATGTTTTGTCTTAGCGCAATTTTCATTGAGTTTCGTAAGTTATCTTTGATTGCGTGGTTTTGCTTTGCTTCGCTGGTTGGTCCTGAAATGTCGCGCTGCCCCCACAACCTTCAAATGTAAATTAAACCAATGGCGGACTTGGTCACCCGCGTCAGTTTCCCGCGTTTGTTTTTACTTTGAGTTCTGATTGGCTTCTTGTAATATGTACCTTTGTTTTCATTGGCCGTTTGGATTGCCATAGTTTAAGGCTTACGGCACGCGATCGGAATGCCCCGCCAAACATGGTGCATATGTTGCTTTCAACGCTATTTAGAGTGCAAAACGGAGGGATTTTTTTTTTCTTTCTGCAAACTCTTACCGTCAGCTGTTGATCTCTAGTGGGGAAGATGCTTTTCACCAGAGAAAGGCTCTATTATAATGTTTAAAGACTAATGACGTATAAGAAAAAAATTCTGAGTCCCCATGAGGAATGGAACCTCCGACCTTCGGATTTGCGCTCCGATGCTCTACCACTGAGCCACAAAGACTCTTCGGTGAGCGGGGTCTATTACGAAGTTCTACCTTTCTGTCAAAAACATTACGCTATCGACATTGCTGATCCTAGCAGTATGCAGGACTCGTGTCATTAGAACTTCGTAATAGACCCCGCTCACCGAAGAGTCTTTGTGGCTCAGTGGTAGAGCATCGGAGCGCAAATCCGAAGGTCTGAGGTTCGATTCCTCATGGGCACTCAGAATTTTTTCTTTGTCCCACGCTCGTGACAAGACGAAAAAACATCTTTCTTAATTCTTCACCGAGCTCAAAACTTACCATCTCTACTTTTCTGTCTAATGACTTATAGCTACGAAATACTTATTAACTATTTAAACTAAAAAATCCAAGAAATCTTTGAAGATTTGATACTCATAGATCTTCCTCTGAATTAAAAAGATATAAATACAAGTTTACAACACAGCATTTTGCCCTCCACGCAGTCAATCACTTACAACGACGCGATAGTTCACGTCATTGGTTTCAAACCAGTGACACCCACACCTCCACCCCAAAAGAAAAAAAACCGCAACTTATTAAACATTAAGGAGGTATTGTCTTCAGCCGCCAGCTAACGAGGTAATCTGCATAATAACCAGGACTTAAACTTTTAATTTTTAACTTCTGTTGTTTTAATATGCTTGTTTCATTTCATTACCTTTTTCTCTCGCAGTCTGTTGAAGAGGATGGCGAACAACCGGTATAACATTCTATGATTAACTTATTCATTTGTAAATATAATTTAATCTGATAAAAAATATAACTTGTTAAACAATATTTTTGCTGCTGTATCTTTTTTCTATAAAAAATCCTATTTTTTAATTTGTATTCAAATTTTTGTTAAATTATCGTAAAATGAAAGCAAAAGTGATTACCATTTCATTGAAGTTAAACACATAATACTAGTAGCTGCATGTTTTCTATCATTAAGGTTGATGACGAAGTTTCGAATCGTTAGCCCACTTACTTGAGAAACTAACGATGTTTTAACTGTCTAAAGCTTTCACTGCCGCAGAAATTATATTTTGTTGCAGATTTCAAGCTGTTTTCATTTGTAGCCGGAACAGATTTAATCAATACAAGTTTGCCTCTTAAGGAAACGATATTTCACCAAATATTGATAAAAAAAAAACATTGAAAATTCTCAAATGCACTTTCTTTTTCAAATTTTATACCTGATGTAGAAAAAATAGCTTTTTGTTTTGTCTCTTTTCCTAATTAATTTCGTTTTCAATTCTAAAAAAAGGTGCTTTACTCTTGAGGTTTATGTTTGACGATAACTAGTTAAGAATGAAAATGTATTTGGGCCCGATTTGAAATATTTTTGGTTAAACCATTAAGTCCCACATGCTGTGAAACCGTAACAAACCCTTTCTCGATTTACTTTCCCCTTAGGCAAAAAAAAAACTTACAACAATCTCTTTCATTCAAACCCTCAGGAGTCTAAGATCTTGAACATGTTAAAAATATCGGAAAGCGGGCGTTGAAATTGCGTTCGGTTTTATTTCGTTAACAGCTTATTGGCAAAAATAATTTTAAAAAAAAGATACAGCCACCTCAAGCTATTCAACAAATCAGGTCTTAAAAGCTTTTTTTATGTTCTAAATTTAACAAAGATTTTTGGCAAAAATTGGCGACCAGAGCAGGCGACAACTATTGTTTAACTGGAGGGAGTGGGTTCCTAAAGTGTTGTGATAAGACTATATGTATAATAGGTCCTGAAAAAAAATATTTTTTGTTATTTTAATTTATTTCCACATTGATCAAGGACTGTAGAAAATAAATGTTGACGTGAGTAAAGAATATTAATATTTACGTCTAAGGAGCGAACGTGGCGAAATTTCTGTCGTGGTAAAGAGCTAGTTGTGGCTCCAAAATTTCTTAAAAACAAGCCGAAGATCATTTCGACGACAATTGGATACTAGAAGATGTATCAAAACAACTTGGTACTTGCGAAGGTTTTTTTCCGCTCTTTATTTTGTTCCACGGCCTCCAGGAATATTACCTTCAGCCGTAAAGTTCCTCAAGAGACTTACACCGTATGAACTGAAAAATCAGATCAACTTTGTTGTACGAAGAACTCGGGATATTGGACAAAAGAACTTTCAAACATCTCAACCCTTAAGCAGCTTCTCAAAACTTTCCTTTTTTATTTTGGATTTCGGTTATTTGCTTCAAGACTACTTTTCTTAAATTGTTTTATTTGTGCATTTGTATTACCGAGACAAACGCTTTTCGTTACGAATTGAAAACGAACGTTGAGATAAACATGTTCGTAGTTTATCTCAACAGTTTTCCTAACATTCTGATCAGTGATTTTTAAGAGAGACATACTCAATTTTTTAAACCATCGAAGTGTTTTTCTAAGCGTTTCATTTTAAGGGAACTAGAAGGAAGCCGGACTATTTCACAATCGTCCTTGATTTTCTTCCTTTGACAGGCTCAGCTGGAAAAAATGGTGACAAAACTGAAAGTAGAAAAGGCTCAAGTGGAATCTTCTTTAAGAGAGGAAGAGGCAAAGTGTGGCATGCTGTTGAGAGAAGTAAAGGATGCTAACGAGGTGAGCACCGACATATATTTTGTTTGTAATAAAACCCCTTTGATTTAGGGGTGTTCCGCCATGTTGTGACGTAATCAGACCGTTTCCTCTGCCTGGCTACCAAGCAAAAAATAATTCCTTTGTAAAACTATAAGTGGCTGGCGGCTGACACTGTAGAATTTTTTTTTTCTTTTTTTTTTTTTTTTTTACTTTATCTCTATGCTTAAAGAATATTTTGGAAGCCAAATGTTTCGTGAGAACATATTGATCGCTTGCTTGTCAAAGATAGGCGTTTACTTCTGTATAGTCAGGCTATCAGCATTTCCAGTGAAATAGAAAAAAAATAATCCAGATTTAATCATACACTTTGTATCGATAAAACTTTTTTTTTAGATTTTGCTTCTGAAAGATATAGCGAACCAACTCAAAGAATTATCTTTGACTTTGGTCACAGATCAATCACTATATTCTCGTTAAAAATGAAAAAACGAAATAGCTCGTCGGTGAAAATACAGAAAAAAAATATCATTTAGAGAAAATTGCCGTCACATTGTGATGGGTTGTGCTAAATAATGAGCATATAATACACTGACAGTCTTAAACTTCTGAGCAAAATTATTATCGTGTTATCATTTTTTGCATGCAAGCTGTTTAAGTTTGCACTTTATTTTATACCTTTTTTTGGTGAGGATTTTTTACTTTCTTCTAAATCGTAACAGAATGATCTTTGTTCAGATATCGCGAAAGCGTAATTCAGTACTTTACTGTGGAGCAATTATATCGTTTTCGTATTTAAATCTATTTTTTTTTTCTCTTACTGAAAATTTTTCCTCGCTATTTCAGAAAGGTAAACATGTCGGCTTGATTGTATTTTCCCCTTTTGACGTCATTCTATTAAATGTATTCGCTCTCCGCCACGTTATCAGAGCGAAAATCCTTCTTTGTACTGACTTGTGGGAAAAAAACTGTCTGATATTTCAATAATCATAAATCTTTCTTTGAAATCGGTTTTAACTGACATCGAAATCAAAATCCGCTCAAAGATTTAATTTTACCGCGTTGTATAAAACTGAACAGTGGAGCCGAGGAGCGAATGCAATAATAGATGTGCTGTCCATGGTGAGATCAATTAATTTTGAGATTTGCATGGATCGTGTTTTGAGTAAGCTTAGTGTACATTTTCTCGTTTGTCTCGTGATTTAAATGCGAATTTGATTTATTAATGGTGAGTATCAGTTGTCTTATCTTGCGGTTTCGAAAATCATTGTGCATAAGTATTAATTATACATATTAATCGCGTCGTGTGCTATTTAAACCAATCATTACCATTTTTCTTGCTCATTAAAAACTTATGACCCCCAATTTTCACCCGACGCTAATCTCGAAAATACTTTAGGACGCGAGGAGGATTTTAACCACTAAAGAAACAATGATTCATCTGTCTTGCGTGAGCATTATTCTGCATTTCGTCGGTGTGATCCCGAGCGAAAAGTGGTAGTTCTTAATGTCGGAGAAAACCGGTCGAACTGGAAAAATCCCAGTGAAATATGACGACAATCTGGTTTTATTCCTCTGTCGAGGTTCAGAGAGGAAGAAAGTTAATTTTCGAACGCGTGACGCCGTTCCCAAGTTTAAATATAAGGTGCCGTATGCTGCTTTGTTGATGTTGATTTGGATTCATGTTTTCTCATTAAAAAGTGACATCAATTACCTGCACTTCTTTTGGAACATGTTATAGTGAGAAGAAAAGAGAACTGAGTTCCAATTTGGACTAAAAACAGTGAACGAAGAGCCACTTGGTAATTTCGTTTCGAACATTATTTCCTTCTGTCCGCCAATCGGTCGGTCTGTCGGTCGATCGGGTCAGTTGTTTTTCAGTCGGTCATTAATTCGTTCGCTTGGTCGCCCGGTCGCTCGGTCGCTTTTTGGTCAGTCGTTTGTTCGGTCTGTCTTTCATTCATTCGTTCAAATCTTCCTTGTTTCCTCGTTTCTTCGTCCATTTGTTTCGTTGTTCGTTTATGAGAGCGTAGGTCTGTGCATTTGACTAATCGTTTTTAATTTATTCCCAATAACAGGCGCGACAAAGCTTGGAGAAATTGTTGTCCAATGTAAAAGGAGACTCTGTTGAGCTTGAAAACAAATTACAGGTATGATAACGTTTGTTCGTATCTGTATTAACGAACGATGAGCACTTACAACAGCAGACAAGATATGACGCCTCGTAAGATTTGAAGGAGGCACTTTTGCGGCATTTCAATTTATATTTACCTGAAAGGACTACGTAATACTTGTTTAGAAAGCTAGAAGAGGTCTTAAGAAGCAATACGAAACCAAGAGTGAACCGGAATAGGTAAGAATGGAGAATAATGGAGCAGATTGCAATCAATGAACGACACTTCCCTCTTTAACCTCTGAAAAATAGTTACCAACTTCAGGTTACAGACTTAATTGCTTTTTATGTCTGTTTTCCAGTCTGAGACGCTCTCTCGAACCCAACATGAGAGAGAGGCCGAAGAGCACAAGGAACTGTGGGAATCGGAAGTAAGGTCAAGAACAAAGCTCGGAGCGAAGGTACAACGCGCATGTCTCACAGACAGAGTAGAAATTGATACTAAATCGGGTGTACATGTTCCGCTAACTTAAACTTTTTACTGCCTTAGATCGCAGAGATGGAAAAACGGTTGGATGATGCTCGTGTAGAGATCGAAGAGGTGAGAATGAAGACTTTTTTAGAAATTTGGTAATTTTATGATGCCTTTTAAATGACTTCTGTTTGCTTTTAATGTAGGAAAAACGTAGAACTCGTAAAGCTCTGGAAGCGAAAAAAGTCCTCGAAGCTAAGCTAGAAGCCAACGACCAAAGGTAAGTATACCTGAGGGTAACATGTGATCATTTAGTCTGATCGTTCGGGTAAGTGTAGTCCTGAGAGGAACTGGTGTCGGTAGTGGTGACCGACGTTTTGACGCTATAAACTGGGACTCCGTGCAATGCATTACCTACAGTACTAAGTATTTTCCGCGAGACGACTTTTTCGCGACTTTTACACCACAAACGAACCGAACAGAAAGACTTGACATTACCGAAACTAATCATTCAGGACCAGCCACTTAAGTCTTATAGCCAATGAAATCACGGTTAAACTGACCAATCAGTTTACACGAACCGGACTTATAACACTCGACTGACAACAACTATTCACTGGACTCTGATGATGACTTCTGCTCAAGTTGTCAAAACGTTAGTTACTACTACCGACAACAGTTCCCCTCGGGACTACACTCACCCCGACGAGCAGACTACACGATCAAGAGTAATTTGTCCATTTTACACTGGACTCATAAGATCCCTTTGCACCTTACAGTACCTTGTATGCTGGTTCACCTTCTATATTCTTCCTTTTCAGAACATCTCAGCATCAAAGAGAAGTCGTTGCTCTTAAAACGCAGCTTAAGTCGTACAAACGACGTTTTAAGGTAAGGCTTGATCACATTTTTTTGTCTCTCCCAGTTTTTCGCAAATTGCTTAAAAGAATTTGGCGTATGATAGTTATTGTAAAAATTCATTTACGAACAAAGAGGCTAGCGTCCAAACTCCGTAGAAAATATGTATTAAACTTGTAAAATGAACCACAATAGTTGACTAAAATAAAAAATCCAACACTTAAAATTCCAAACAAAGGGGTAACAAATTTACGCGAATGAAAGCTCAAAGACAACTAAAACTCCGCGAAAACCAACAAAAAGTACGCGAAAAATGTCCACGTCAGTTTTTCAAAGTCAAGGTTAGAGTTCTTTCACGTGATTGGCTAATTTGTGAAACCACGCGCACCGCGCTTGAATACAAAAAGGATACGAAGGGGGGAAAGGAAGAGTAAAATTGAAATTTGAAATTTGAAATTTGAAAACGAAAGAGGTTTACTCGTTATTTCTTGATCTTTTTAAAGGAATACGAATCTTCGGAGAGTCGGATACCAGCTCTTCGAGTTGAATTTGACAAGGAGCGATCTGCAATGGAGTCGCATATTACGACATTACGAAGACAGGTTTGTTTTCTGGTTACTTTTCAGTAAGGCAGGTATCATCAACGACATAGTTGAAGTCGGAGTGGTTGTTGTAGTCGTAAGGCACTTCTGACACATTGCAAATTGAAACTAGGAAAGGTTTTGGTGAAAATTTTATGCTTTGCTTGTTGAGATCTTTAGAGCAATTACCATTTGAATGTGCACGATTGCTTTTGGTAAGCTTTACTTCGCTATGCGATTGGTTCAGAAAACTCGTGCCACTCTCTTTGAACCAATCACATTCAAAACTAAGCTCAACTGCGACTTAGTCATTTGCATTTTCCCGCGCTTTAGACAATTCTGTGTTCTGCAGATGTTAATGATAACATCCTAAAGGGGTAACTATCGAACATATATTTCTCTTTCATAATCTGATTTATTTTGTCTTTGACAGTTAGATAATTTGAGTGAGAGGCTTCACCAAGAATCAGAGAATCGCTCACGAGCTGAGCTGACATGCAAACAGCAGCAACAAGGTAATCATAAGCTTTATTAACAATTGGTTAGTATGCTGAACTCCTTGTAGCTTCATGCTACACAGACCGAAAATTGAAAATTGAATTATGAGTCGTTCGGATTGAGAGGTCTGCGTTCGAGACCTAGCCGTGTGATCGTCTTGTGTACCCCTCCCCACCCGGGAGTATTAACAGTCAAGGAAACCTGGCGAAATGTTGGAGGGGGGGGTGGTGTGTGAGGTAACCTGTAATTTACTGTCACCCCATCCAAGGGGGGAGTTGTTATACGCTCAGTCGCGGCATGCTCCAGAACAGAAACCGGGATAAGCTCAGGCTAAATAGGCCACTTGGTTCCGTCGCAGCCTGACCTCTGCCTATGATAACTGTTTTTTCTTTTCAGTCCAAACTTGTGCTTTGTCCGTCAATAAAGTTTAAAAGTTAATGGCTAGTAGCGTCAAATCTAGTAACAGTTCAAATTTTAAGAAAAAAGGTCTCAATGGTTGTGCTCCACCTTACTCTGTCTTGTTCATTGTTTCAACAGAACTATCAGCTGCGAAAGCCCAAGAAAAGGTGAGTAAAAGAATACCAACGATTCTAAGGTATTTTACTACCTGTGGACGAGTAAGTTGCAGAGTACGCGTAATTTTGGTGCAACATTTTCTTGGTGGAAATAATAGCTGCTACCTTTGATTATTATAGCAATAGAAGGCTGGGAAGAGGAAGAAATTTGTACCCAGGTGGTGAGCGACGGTCAAAAGGAAGGATTGGGGAGGGGAAGTGAAATTGAAATAAAAACTCACCCTTATAAGACGCCTGCACTGCAGGCTAGTGGACGATTTGTCTTGTAGGTGACGAATCTGTCATTCAAAGTTGTTCACAGGTGATATCATTGCTGCCTCGTGACAAAACCTTGGAAGCGAATTTATTAGCAGTTATACATTTAATTTTGGGTAGATTAATACACCTAATTATAAAACGGCAGGTGCCTCAGACGATCTGGATCGAGTTGCATGAGTACGAGGCACCGAAGGCCACGATTTTAGTGTTTTCTCATGAGCAGTCTTTTAAATGCTTTATGTGTTTATATTATATTCAGCGTCTTCTCTTTGACCAAGAACGTCTGCAACTGACCAATAGGCAATTGGAGGAAGAAGTTGGAAGGTTAAAGGTGGGTTGGGCCACAATCTTAGGCAGAAAGCTACAGTATTTGGATATCAATGGATTTGAGTGGCAGGACCAGAAATGATCATTTAGGGGAGCGCTCTTTGATATGTTTTCATTTTCTCTTTATCATAGGCGTTCTATGAAAGTAATTTTGTAGAGAATGGCCAGTTGGAGACCTACAAGCAGGAGCTTGAAGCTAAGGTAACTTGAGACTTAAGTCGTACCGATATCAGTCCATGAAGCACTTTACTACTGAGAGTGCAAAGTAATCCGAGACACATTGTTTCTGCTTTACTTCGCTCTATGATTGGTTTTAAAAAGCTCAGCCCACTTTCTCGACCAATCAGACGCAAAGCTTAAACCTTTCTCGGTTTGGTCACCCGCGCTTCGAGCGGTCTGCTTGTCTTTGCTTTAAGCTTTGATTGGCTTCTTGGGATAACAATGGTTTTGGTCATGAGACTCTCGTTTGAAATGTGCTCGTAAGTTAGAAAGAAGACCCAAAATATTGACGCGCTTATATGTAGAGAATTTGTCATAGTGGCTGTCGTTTTTACTTCTCTCGTTTCAAAATATGTGACTCTTTTCTCCAACAGTCCCGCTTTGAGTTGAATCGTAAATTAGAGGAAGTCAACGCTCACTTAGAAGAACAGGTGAGGCGGTTTTAATTTTCATAAGTATTTTTGCTCATTCTGTAAAGAGATTTTTATCAGTGTGCGTGTTTGCAGCATTCCCCTGGGATTGCTTTGGTTTCGCTCTGTGATTGCTCCAGAAAGCTTGCGCTACTGTCAACCAATCAGATGCAAAGCTAGCACTAATCACGAATTTGTAGCCCGCGTTTTCCCGCGCTTTAGTCGGTTTTAATTTTAGTCCTCATTGGATCTCCGGGGTATTTTCCTTTACAATACTCAATCGAAAGCGTTAATGAAACTGTGTTGGAAGTGATAACTATAAGTTGCCCTTCTGGGCGGTTGTTTGATTTTTTTGTGTAGTTTATTTGTAGTTGGTGGAGTTATGTGCGCTCTCACTTGAAAATTGTTTATCACATGTTGTGGATTGGTTTTGTTACCAACAGGAAATTTTTTTATGAAACTTCGTTTATGTTTCCTCGTAGGCCGCTGCGCGGGAGAAACTTGATAAACTTCGCGAAGCAAATGAACTGAAGACCAGAAAGGCGCTGGAGATGACAATAACAGACCTAAAGGTTAGTGTTGTTCTGTCGCATAGCGGGCATAAAAACGGAAAAAGAAAAAAGTCACCGATCGCAAAAGCAATCACTAATCCCGTACGCGAGAAAAGAAAACAGTCGCTAACCGCAAGAAGGGAAAGTCAGCAGGCGCAAGAAAATCACTCACCTATCGTATGCAGGGCAAAATCGATCACTAATCGTAAGCGTGGTAAAACAATCAGTCACCGTTCACAAGCACTCGGATTACAAGTTATGAACGACAATAATTGGAAGCTTATGGTATTTATGCGTATGTGTTAGGCTGATGTGGCGAAAATGCGAGCTGGATTCCATGAAAGCCAAACGCGGAAAGAGACTTTAGACGCTGAGGCTAAAAGATACAAGGTAATATTAAATCAGTGATTTCATACAGCAGCTACTATCAACAGTCCTTTGAAGCTAATGTCACGTATCTTAACTTATACAATCTTGTAAGACAATTTTGTATGTAAATAGCTGCTGTCTCAGTACCGGTTGGTGCGAGAGACCCAGTGGCCTGATAGCCAGTGCGAGAGATCTGGGTTCCAGCCCCAACCGGTTCATTTGTGTTGTGTTCTTAAGCGAGACAGTTAACTCCCACAGTGCCTCTCTTAACCCCCTCCCCCTTGAGTATATACGGTTATAAATAAATTGTCAGGGGAATATGATGAAATGCTGGTGCTTTGTTTGCGATGAACCAACAACTTGTTAAGAATTAGATTGTGAGCTCGATATTTCTATCACTTGATAAACGATTAACATGTTTTTTTTCCTCAGGATTTATACGAGAGTGAGATGAAGTCGAAAGATAGGCTAGCGAGCCGCCTGTACAAAGCTAACGAGAAAATGGCGGAATCTCAAGCGTTACTTAAGTAAGCAATTCGCTATACCTTCAACTGATTAATCCAATAAGTTCGTGAATCACGCCTCGTGTTCGCCTCGCGCTGGATTGAACAAAGATTTGAGAATTTTCTCCTCAAACAATCATAATAATTGCGAGCAGAGAGTCTATGAGAAGGTAGAAAAAGATGAAATAGGTTATATTGTTTAGTTGAACTCCAAATTCTCCGAGTAAAGGTATATGGCCAATAGTGTAGTGAATTTATATTTAGATCACTTGTTCGGATTCTCAACACACTTGATTTGTATTTCATTTTATATGATCCCACACACATTTTGATTGATTCCTAACTAGAAGTATTGGAGGACAGACGCATAGATGACATCACTACGAACAATTTTTTTTTTTAATTGTATAAAGTGTCGTACTCGGTGACATACTCGGCCATGCCTGGTGTGCCTCTCTTTCGTTATTACCACATTGTGACGTTATCTGTGATCTCTCGCTGAACAGACGCACGTCGACATGGGATAGTTTTTTTAAAAAGAACACAATGATAGGGTAGAATTTAATAGTAACTGAACCTTCACAGTTTGCACAGAAGTGTTACTAATACTTCCGAATGTTTCTTTTCCTTTCACAGTCTGGAGAGATCTCGTAGAAATTTCGATGGATTAAAGCGCGACACGTCTCCGCACCAGTTTACCTCGGGTGGCATCTTAAATGGTTCACCCAGAACAAGCCCTGATAGAATGTACTCTAAGGTACGCTTAATCCCGATCACGATAGGATCGATTTAATCTCTGTTGTCGTCTCAAAAAGCACCATGGAATAATCGGCTACTGGAATGACACCCAATTGGGGGGGGGGAGTGACATGACACCGGGTAAAGCTGCACTGAACTGGCCGCATGTTGGCTCAAGTGCATACTTTCTCTGTTTTATCTCATCGAGATAAATTTGCATTTTTCCTTCAAAAATCTAGATGGATGTATAGTAAAATATTTTGTGGTCTTCGGTTTAGGGGGACGGGCAATTAATGAAGGCAGTGGAGGATGAACTAAACAAAAGTATCAAGCGTCATTTGGAAAGTGGTAAGTAGTTTTCCGACTTAGAAGTACAAGTGAATACTTCCGGTGAGTGATGTCGCGTGACTTCCGGTGTTACGCAACCTTTTCATAAGCAATTTTCGATATCATGCTGGTGATATGCTTTTCCATAATATTAAAATTGCTCTCTTTTTTTTTTAGCTCCCTTGACATCAGACCTCGATCTCAAGCCGAGCCTGTTAAGTGATGGGGACAGCGGTTCATACGGACCGCTGACCGCATCGTCCAAACAATACATGTCAGTTTTACGAAAAAACTACTTTGTGTAAGCTACACACGGTGTGCCTACGAATTAACTAAATTAAACTTTTTGTGTGTGGAAAATGGCCTTGAAGGCTGTTCGTGCTGCTAATAACAATTTATGAGATAACAGACCAGTTTTTTTGGTCCATATTTTACACTGCGTAAAAAATTTCCTTAAAGAAAAGACGTTTAAAATTTCTTTTCAGAGGAAAATACTAATTTATATAAAAAATTCAGAACAAAATTAAGTTTATCGATATCCTTTGTAGTATTTGTATGTATGCATTATAAAATCATATTTGTATTATAGGGTAATATGACGGATTGCTTCATCGGCCATCTGTAATATTTATTTCTTTTTTCATGCAGTCAACAACTTTAATAGCTACATTTATTTTGTACGTGTATCCAAGACGACGTTTTTATACTGAATTAAAAAATTCTATTTTTAGAAAAAAAAAGTCGTGTTTTTCTTTTCTCTGTTGGTACGTTTGGTGTTCCCACCTCATTCTTGTGCCCAGATCATACTTGTGAGGCATGGCCTTTGGGGGTCTGGGTTCAAGATAATCCTACACCTACCTGCCAGGCCTCTTCTGTTTCCTTGCCGTCTTCACGTTTTGATTACGTGATGGTATTACATCATGCAAATGCCGCGCGAGAACGAGGCATCAAGCCCACGTTGTCAACAGCTTCTGTTTCAAATATAAAAATGTTGTCATAATACTTGCTTGTAGGACTGTCAGCTGTGTTTCTTTCATTCTCTTCTCTTTCTGTATTTTAAGATTGTTAGATTTGAAAATTTGCCAATTAACGAACCGTTCATTACCTATCAAGAGGGGGAAAGTGAAAAAAGGAGTTGGTTAAGGCTATTTCAGATTGGCTAGAGGCGGGGGAGGGGGGTTAAACTTTTTATAAAGAAGTTTAGGAGGTCAGAGGTTTGGGGTACATTGGTTAGGAGCCCATTACGTAATGGGCTTCTGGTGTGGTTCATCGCCCAAGGTGGGTATTATGCAAAGTTATCATGTTAAGGTTGTATGTGACATGAGTTGTAATTATTTATATGCATACAAAAGGGGATATGAGGTGACGAGGAGGTCATCACGTAATTATTGAGTTACGAAAGGGGGGGGGGTACTTGCTATTTAGATGGCCCGGTAGGAGGAGGCTCATGGAAATTTTGATCTTTTCAACATATTTTTTTCCTCTTCTCCTCTACATTGAGAATGATCGGTCCCTAAAGATGTTAAGATTGGAAATAATTTTGCGTCATTTACGGATTAATTGCTTGTTGAGACGAAGAATCTAACGAGCAGACACTGATCAAAACTTCATCCATTCTATTTGTTGTGATTTAAATTGTATTCTTGCCAAGAAAGATTCATGACTCAATCCATCTGACCCTCACGTGGTTAAATTAGTAGCCACGCGCTTTCATGAACAGTGCACGTTTATTCAACTGTATCCATTTAAGTTGTAACGAACCCAAAATAAATTATTGATAGTACCGCGTTAAGATCCCAGACCTTTTTTTTTTTTTTTACGAGAGGCATTTACATTGGCGTATAATTTGTGAGATTAAGGACGTTTCATCTATCGGCAATCTTACAAAGTAAACGTTTAAAGACCATCATTTGGAAACAGCAACGCACTGAGTTTTTACTTAATTCATTGAATATTCCTAGGTGTTCTCAAATTCAATCAGATTGTCTATTTCTACAATTCAGTTTAAGAAAGCCAAACAATGTGACTCGCCAAACAAAAAGCTGTAGCTTAATTGTTAAATTTTGTTCTAGAAAGTTCGAATCCTAGACGATTCTCATGCTTTCCGAAAAGTAATTTAAACAAATAATTGACTGAGCTAAATGTGAAGTAAGGCTTATGCTTTAACATTCACGTCGCGATGCTAACGAAAAAGAGCAGGTTTCAAATTAATGTAATCAACATCTCTGCACATTAACCAGTTTTTACAGAAAAATTCCGCTTCAGGCAGGGGCTCGTTGAAACCAAAGTCGGACGACAACGAGCGAATGGATTGATGCAGTCAACATCGTAGTATCCAACACTAAAGGGTACCAGCTATAGATTTTTCTGGAACGATCCGCAATGAATTGCGCTTACACAGGAATTTGATTAGACTCGCTGTACTTGTTTTTGTTCGCAGTGTGCAAATCACCGCTTGTTTTTCTCGACAGAGTTGACCTTATCATATTTCTATAATTACGTTATAAAAAAAAAACAAACAAACAAACAAGAAAATTTTGGCGATGAGGAAATGATCAGACCTATTTTTGGTTCAGAAAAAAAAAAAAAAAAAAGAGAGAGAGAAACAGATTATGCAATCAAAACTGGTTATATGCCCCCAAGCGAAATGTTATCCTTATTTTTGTTTCCTAGGACACCTTGCTGCGGTATTTGATAATTAAAATTCCCATATCAACAAACGATCTCGTAGGCTTAAATGTATTCCTGTTGATAAGAAGACAGACCATAACACGAATGACGCGCGACTAGCGCGCGCGCGCTTTGCTGGAGACTACTCAAATTTGAAAACACATCATGCACATTTGTTACGCGTACGATTTCAGCGTGGGCGACGTTTTCAGTGTTGAGGTCGAGTCGCTTTTTAAAGGCTAATTCATTCGGGATTAAGGAGTTAACTGCGTTTTTGCCTCGGGATGTTTTTTTTTTGCTTGTTTTTCAAAGATTTTATGTAACCGCTTTCGAACACCTGTATTATTTTGTAGACTGCATTTCTCTGAATGCTCACAGTCCTGCAGGCGCCCTCACATGTATTATAATATACATGGAAAAAATTACGCACGTCTAGTGCAATTTTGTGTAAATAACCGCTTGTAATTTTTTCAAAGACTAAAAATTGCACTTGCCCTACGAGCTCGTGCTATTTTGTTGTCTTTGAAAATTTTACTAATTTACTAAAATTGCCCTCGAAATCGAGTTGTCACCTTTCCTAATTTTCGAGGAGCGTGTACACTTTTGATGACGTCATATGAACAAAAGGCCATCACCATAGCAGCGTAAAATTCTAACCAATCGTCATCAAGGTCAGTTTGAAGCTGATGACCTAAGAAATTTATATAGCTAGAAACTTCCTTGAATCCTCAACCTGCAAAAATTTTAGCAAAGAGTAAGGACCTTTCTTGTTCGCTTCGCAAACAGCTGGGAAAAGAAACAAAGCCGAAGGTTGGTAGAATGTGGTACATTAGCTCGTTTGAAATGGGGTAAACTTTCTTTCCTGAAATAATTTTCAAACTTGCGTGATAGTTGCGCTGAACAAAACTGTGAAACGACAATATTTTCATTGATAAGTTATAAACATTAATTTATTCCAAGGATTAACTTAAACAGCACCTACTAGCAAACGAAAAATACGACTACTTTCCCAATGCCAAAAAAATCGATCTTAAGTATGTCTGCAGAACAATCTGGGAGACTTTGCAGTTTTTCTTCCTCTAACAGACTTAAATATACTTTTAATTGATTGCATTCGGTATTTACTGCCTTGAAGAGCAGCACGAATGAAATTTCCTTTACTAGGCATTTCCTGTTTAGTCTGAATCGGTTTTCACAATCCCACACTGAGATACAAAAATTCCAATTACCTAAGAAAAAGTGGTTTTTCGATGTCGCAAAAGGTCTGCGTGTTCCGTGATCAAAAAGCCCACATGTGGTAATCATGTGATCATGTGACTTTGTATTCTTTCGCCTGCATGTCTAAAGAACAGAGGTAATCTGCCGACGTCCGAGTTTCATTTGGCACGATTACCACTTTGCTTCAATTCGTTGCATTTTGTCTAATGGCCATCAAGATGTGTATACAGCCATTTGATTTGAAGAAGAAAAAAACTTGGAGACAAATTAAAGAACGATTTTATTGTCAACCTTGGCACTTAAAATACCCTCTACTCTGATATTTTTAGTAAACTTTCTTCTGCTTTGGAAATGAATGTTGATTAGGTAATAGTTCAATGCAGCGGGAGCAAACACGAAAGACGAAAAAACCAAAGGAAAAAAAACCAAAGATGGAGAAACTCATACAGATTGAAAATATTCAAATCGACAGATACATTCGGTCAAAAGGGCGTGATTAAAAAATTAAAAACCTGTCAATATTCTCATGTTCTTCATCCTTTTTTTTTTCAATATCTTTTGTCATCATGCTATTCTTTCAAAATTTGGATCATACCCAAGGTTTCGAATTTCTCGTCACCAAAGCGCATGCTTATCATCACTCCTTCCGCTGTCCACTAGTTTAGGCAGAATTCTAAGAAGCCATTATAATATGCAGATCTAGTGCTTCCAACTTTCCTGTTACAATTAAAACCAAGGGGATAAAACTTAGTACTTGACCGTACTCACTGATCACCGAAAATAGTTTCGTAGTTACCCAAGGTCACACTTATTATTTGTTTTTTTTTTTGTTATTTTTTTCTGTTTTTATTCCCTATCTGGTTTGCTAAATCCCCCATACCCCTCGTGAAAATAATAGTGAGAAGCTATAACTTGATCGTTATGGATCATCAAAGTCTAAAATCTCACGCTTTTCAATCAGGCGTGAACTGATTTCGTAACATCTACGTATTTTCTCGATTTTTCGGTCAATGAAACCTTGGTTACAAGAGAGGCAGCTGAGCAAAAGTGTGAAAGTATTTTTGTCAGGCGTTCGTCTTGCAAAACAGGTCAGTATTTTTGTATGAAAAAAATGTTTCATTCAGTGAATCCTTCATCCTTTTGAGCTAAGACATATTTTCTCCGAAAACCGGAAACCTAAGTAACAGGGGCAAAAGGTCGGATCTATTTTCGACCCGTGATACTCAGATCTCGTTATGTTAAGATATTTGATAGCCTTTCGGTTCAGCTGTGGTTATTGTGACAAAATTCACGAGTAAAACCTACAGGGCGATATTTTTTCAAAACAAGCGCACAGGAAGGACTAGTCTTTCGCAAAGCCGAACGCTTTTGGAATGCGCTGCCTTCAAATCTTTTCAGCTTGACTTGATTCGAAACTGAAAGCGGCATCGAAAGGTATTTAATTATTTTCTTTATTATTATATATATAGAGAGGGATTTTTCCATTGAACTGTAGACGGGTTTAGTTTAAGTGAACGTATTTACTATCACGTGCTTTTAGACTGATCTGAAAACCGAATGTGACCTAAGTGATTTAGAAAGCTTAAAGAAGGAGGTAGCTTCACGCAGTTGCCACGAATGCCCTGAAACTTTCAATTCTTTCGTGAATGTTCTGCTTACAACAAATAAAGACGTGATGTACTATTTTCACCACGATCGATTTCATGACATGCTTACAGATGCAAAAACGCAATTCGTAGAGGAAAAAGTGTTCTTGACGTCGACGTATTTCATACATAAAAAAAGGTTTCTGAACGTGTACCGAATGCTTTTTAATAAAAAGACGCCAATTTTTGGTTTTTCG